TTTTTTTTAAGCATGTTCTTCTTATCGTCCGTGTGCGAATGTACCGTAGCTCTGCCACGGCCTTTTCTTCTTGTCGTGTTCGAATTTACCGCAGTCACTCTCAGGAGTCAGGGCATATAGGGCATCGCTCTACTCCTCTCCCCATGCACAAACGACAAAATTATAGCAATGTATCTTTCCATGTTCTAGCAGAACATTCCCTCTCATCTTGCGCCTTTTTTTTTTTTTTTTTTTTTTTTTTTTTTTTTTTTTTTTTTTTTGGGATTTTGCGCATTTGGAGAGTAGTGGAGCGAACCCCATACTCAACACCACCGTCTTTACCCGAATAGAACGCGGGGCTGTTATCGCTGTCTCGAGACTGGAAGTTCCGCCAACCACAGTTATAATAACCAGGCGTTCTATTCGGGGGAAGACGACGGGTAGCGCTGTTTCGACGGAGCTCTGGACGTAATTGCAGTCAGATACATCCAGCACGAGCCGTAATTGAGGTTAGATACGTCCGGGAAAGGCACAGTGCGAGTTTGCCCGCATTATCAATAATTGCAGTCACATACATCCAGCACAATTACTACAGTATGTCACTCTATTGCTTACTTATTAGTTTGCAGCTCAGTCAGTGCATGTCCTTTCTCTTCTTTTCTTTTACTTTCCTTTTTCTTTGAAAAAAAAGAACCCTTTCTTTTCTTTCCTTTTTCTTTGAAAAAAAAGAACCCTTTCTTTTCTTTCCTTTTCTTTCCTTTTTCTTTGAAAAAAAGAACCCTTTCTTTTCTTTTCTTTTCTTTTCTTTCCTTTTTCTTTGAAAACAAGAACCCTTTCTTTTCTTTTTTCCCCTTTTTCTTTGAAAAAAAGAACCCTTCCTTTTCTTTTCTTTCCTTTTTTTTTGAAAAAAAGAGCCCTTTCGTTTTTGGAAAAAAAGGAGCTATGGCATTGAGATATCACCATCATTGAGTTGACCATCATTGAGTTATCATGTCAAGAAAGAGCTATGGCATTGAGATATCATCATCATCATTGAGTTGACCATCATTGAGTTATGGCATTGAGATATCATCATCATTGAGTTGACCATCATGGATTTTGCAGGTGTTATTTCAACCATGATTTCATTGCATTCATTTAGGTCCATCAGGATTCGAACTTGGGTCTGTATTTCAACAGCTCATGGGTGTGTACCAGCTCTCTCTCTCTCTCTCTCTATATATATATTTTTCCTCATCTATCTCTTCTTGCTCTCTATACATATTATATACATATTATACATAATTATACATAATTATACATATTATACATATTACGGGGATACACCAACCAACCTGGACCTGCTGATGGAGGGTCGTGGAGGACGAAGCTCGTAGGGAAACGGGCGCAAGGAGGAGGAGAAAGAGAAGGACAAGGAGGAGGAGGGGAAGGAGAAGGAGAGGGAGAAGGTAGACGAAACAAGTCGTCGTGGATTTGATGGAATCTAGAGATCTGCGTAGATAGATTCCAAAAAGGATCTCTATATTACTTTTGGATAGCAGCCAAACGTTTGAACGCCATCCTGGTGCCTGATTCGTGCTCTGGATTACCTTTGGGGACACTACGGTAGGCAGATTATGTATGTCCCTCCCTCTCCTTCTCCTCTTGTCTTTAACGAAAAGGGGGGGCAGAGAACCCAGAAAATCAACTCTGGACATCAATTTTTTTTCTTCGAGGGGGGTTTGTACGAAAAATGTCGATGGTTATGTGGAGGTGTTTTTTTTTTTTTTTTTTTTTTTTTTTTTTTGTGGGTTATCGAGCTAGAGCTTATATATTTGCGATGATGCTAAACTACTTCTTTTATTGCTATATTTATTTTGGTTTTGCCTCCATATGAGCGAGATGCTAAACTACTTTTTTTTTTCTGCATTTATTTTGGTTTTGCCTCCTCTCCCCCCCCCCCCCCCCCCCCCCCCCCCAAAAAAAAAAAAAAAAAAAAAAAAAAAACAGATATCGCGACGATTTGACAGCGGAGTTCGAAGAGACGGAGCGGCAATTAGTCCTGACGGGCGAGGCGAATGTGCAGAGAGCAAGGATACTGGCGTCGTTGCTCGAGAAGATGAGAACGCTTGGGACTATAACCCAGCTGCAAGAAGCGAATGCAAAGCTGGAGGCGGAGAAGGAGCGGGCGCGGGAGGAGATGGAAGCTGTGTTGATGTCCAGGGAGGAGTGGAGGGCGCAGTCCGCCGCCGCGCTGCAGACGGAGAAAGCTCTCCGGACTCGAGATAACGCGGCGTGGCGCTCTCAAATCTCGAAACTCCAGAAGAGAATGTCGGAGATAGAGTTCACCTTTGACGAGCAGCAGTTCAAGCTGAGAGACGCAGAGACGGAAATAGAGGAGCTGCGGCAGAGGGTGGCAACGAGAGAGGAGGAGGCGGCCGACCTGAAGTCCATCTGGACAGAGCCCGCGCTGAAGGCCATCTCCGCCGAGATCCTGGCCGTTGAGGACGAGCCCGCTGGGGACATGCTGAACGCCGATATCCCCGACGCGGAGGTGCTGGCGGCGGCGCAGCGCATCTGTGAGATTCTGGGGAGCCGGCTGGGAGTGGCAGTGTACATGGCGAACCTGGTCCCACCGCCGCCCAACGCTGACGACCCTACGCCGCCGGAGACTACGCAGATCGGGACTCCCGACACTCGGCCTTTGACGGCGGGATCGCAATCGCAATCGACGGGGGGCGGGTACACTCCCGCCATCACGTTAACGGACTACGCGACGGACTCGAGCGTGGGGGGCACTCCTTTGCGCCTTGTAGGAGCGGGGGAGGAGGCGGAACGTGAAGGGGGAGGGGAGGGAGGGGGAGAGGGTGCGGACACAGCCGAAATTGCGGGCGCGGAATGGACCAGCAGCGGCAAAGACGAGGCCAGCGCGGGGGGAGGGGGAGGGGGAGGGGGAGGAGATCCAAGCGCGCCGCCCAGCGCGCCGCCCAGCGCGCGCGTGGCTGCACTCCTAAGCGCGTCGCCCCCCAGTTTCATGGAGAGAGACGCCATGGCTATGGCCCGTGCAGCGGTGACGGACCCCAGCAAGGCGGGAACCGCCGCCGACGTCATGGCGGAAGTCACTGCGCACATTCGCCTGCGCCAAGAGATGGCTAGTCGGTCCACGTGGTTGCAATACGTGGCAGCTGACCCCGACAACAGGTTCCTGATTGGCCGTTACTTAAGGCCCGGGAGTGGCATCACTTACGCCTGCTTAGGGCCTCAGATGGACTCCGAAAATGGCCGCCCCCGCGTGGAGAACGAGTGCACGTTCGTCGACGATTACTCCGTCTACGTCGTTGAGATCGCCAAGGAGCCCAGGATAAAGCTCTGGGGGGAGGCAGTCGGAAGGCCGCGCCCGTCGCCCGTGATTGGATGCTACCACGCTTTGGCAATTACGGTGGAAGGCGAGACAATCGGCGCGCTCTGCGTCGACACTCTTGGTAAAAAGCAGACCAGCCTACTCGCGTCTCAGGTATCTCTCGACTCCTCGCTTTGACCTTTGACTTTTGACCTTCCTTCGTCGAGTAATGCGTGTCATCCTTTTTTTTTTTTTTTTTTTTTTAAATAGAATGCGTGTCATCCTTGATTGCGCAGGGGCCATTTGCTAAATATTCCCTTCTCTGTATCGTTCCAATTTTAACGGATGTCCCGGACCTTTGACCTCCCTCCCTCCTCCTACTTCTCCTTTCACCTTCCTTCCTCTTACTTCTCCTGCCGCCAAATCGGCCACTCGTCCTCTTCGTCTGGGATGCCATTGCAGTCCTTGCTGGCTTAGCCAATGGGCCTCGCTCCACTACTTGCCAAAATTTGATGTGCAAAATGACAATGACTCTTCGGCTGGAACATGGGAATATACACCGCCATATCCAATGTCTTGCCTCCCATTCCAGTCCTCGTTCTGCTACGTCTTCCGCGCCGTGGCAGGTGTTCGCAGCCCGTCAGGGATGTGCTTTCCCCCCCTGAGACATTGAACGTTCAACGTCAATTTCAACGTCGGTGGTCATCGGGAGGGTGGGCATTTGAGGTTTTGGGGCCTTGCAAGGGCCAGGAACGTGTAGGACCAGTAGCTGCGGGTAGGAGGCCGAGGAGGCCGCAGTCCTTTTCCGAAATTGAAACGGTGCGGGTAGTCCTTTTTCGAAATTGAAACGGTGCAGGTCCTACACGTTGTATTCGAATACAATCTGTACCCTTTCTATTTTCTATTCCGATTTCGAAAAGAAAAACCTCTTGTATTCCGATAAAATTACTTCTTTTTTTTGTTGGAGGTCAGCGCCTGCCCTTGTGCTCCCCGCC